AGACTGGACTAGGGCCCCCGGCGGGGGAGTCACCCTGATCGCGGGGTGGAGAGGCTGCGGGAGCCCTGGGCGGTGAGGCAAGGACCGAGGCAGAGGCCGCCCCACAGTGGGCTGCCTAAGCCCCTTCTCCTGCCAGGCGCCCGCGGAACTGGCCCCCACGGGAGCTGGGGAGGGGGCGTTGGGTCCTCAGAAGCGAGGCCGCGGAGGGCCCCGAGGGAGTGGCGTTATCAGGGCGGTGGCTGGGCTCTGGACGCAGCCACAGGTGGGGTCCCGACGTGGGACAGAGCCTGCTGGGCTGGGAGCGGTCGCTGGGGCGCCCCAGGTGCAGTCTGTTGGGAGCACCGGGTTTGAGCCCCTATGGGCCCAGCCTCCCACTACAGCCCCTTGTGCTTCCCAGGGCCCCCGCTGGTCTTCCTCCTGTTTCCACTGAGGGTGACTGTGGCTCACCTGGCTTCTGGCCCCTCGTCCTCCTTCCCCTCCCCTGCACGTCCAACCCCCCTCCACAGGGCTGCCTGTTTGAGGACCCTCTTGGGATGAGGGGTCAGGCTAACCCTGGGTGCTGGCCACTGCTGGGTGAAGGGGGTCCTGAGGGACCCCATGGCTTAAGGTTGCCATGGGAAACGGGGTGGGAAGCAGGCATTTTTGAAAAGAGCCTTGCTCTTCCAGGGGAATCTCTGGCCTGCCAGGGCAGCTGAGGGTCCTTGCCGGTCTCCCACCCCCTGTGCGCCCTGGACCACTGACCTGAGCTGCACCTCCACTAGCAGGGCTGGCTGGCGGGCCCCTTATTCCACGACAGCTCCCACCCCTATCACCTTTGCTCTTTCCGGTTCTTATCTGAAGGCAAGTCTTCAACTGAGGTGGGGTTGCATGACCTCCTCCCTCCCAAATTCGGACCTCAGGGTCTCCCCTGGCTCTTTGGACGCCTGCAGGCACCAATGACATCTTTATGTCCCTTTCAGACGGGGGACTAGGCTCCAGTCACATCCCAGCTTCTCAGTCCTCAAGGGCTGGCTGGGGTCCTGCCCCTGTGGTTTTCCCAGAGTTCTGCAGGCCCTCGGTGATTGGGACTTTTTCAGTGTTGCTCCAACTGGTACAAGGATAGATGAAATCTTTTTAGCTTGTCTACTCTAAATGAGGGAGCTCTGGTGGTATAGTGCCTAAGGCACTTGACTGCCAACCAGAAGGCTGGTGGTTCAAACCCACCAGCCACTCCTCGAAAGGAAGGTTGGGCAATCTACTTCCGTAGTTACACCTCCTTGGAAACCCAAGAAGGGGTTCGACGGCAGTAAGTTTGATTTTGATTTTTTGAAGTCTAAATGACCCTGCTGCTTTGGGGGACCCTGGGCCCCAGGATTGGGATCTGGCTGATGGGGTGTTTGGGGGTGGTGTTCAGGCCCTCGGGAAGTGGAGCACCAGCTTGCAGGGTTAGGGGGTGCTAGGCGAGAGAAGTAGGTAGCTGCCAGGGTTCCCAAGCAGGTCTTTGGACCCTAGCAGTCCAGGGCCCCACCGCCAGGGGCGGGGTAGTGAAGGACAGGAAACTTAACTAGGTGGGTTCTGTCCTGTTCTTGGGCTGGGAGGACAAATGGCTGACTCCTCCTGGCATTTCCCTGGGTGTGTGACCACCTTCCTCCCCCACGTTGTCCTGGTACCTGCCTGGCTTCACCTTGAGGATCCCAGGGCCTGAACGCCTGTCCCAGGCTGGGCGGGATTCTGTGCAGGGGTGTCCCTGTAAGGCGAGGGTCCATCCCATCCTATTGTCCTGCCTGCCAGGGACATGGTGTGTGAGGGGTCTGAGTCTCAGGGGAAGGAGCCCTGAGTCCCCTCCCTGCTTTTGGGTCCTCCTCCCTTTCTGAGTGAGTTTCTAACAGTTTCTTTTAAATATGGGCTGGAAATTTGTTGTGCTTTTATTTTGCTCTGCAATTATGTGTTTTCTTTAATGGACCAAATTTTAATTAAATACTGCTCTGCCAGTCTCAAATAACGAACATTAAAATGCATAAAGGAAGTCTTGCATAAAGACGCAGACAAATGTAGGGTTTAGGATGACAGTGGAGGTGGTAAACCTGGCTCCATACAAAATGGAGTTCCGCACCCTGGCCTGTGTGGTGGGGAGGCAGGGCTTCCCTTCAAAGGCTCTGATTCAAGGTCCCAGAATACTCGCCACCTCTCACCACCCCCAAGCTGTGCTTGTGAGCTCACACTCACCTGTTTGGGGCCCAGGATCTAGCATTAAAGTGGCAGGATTCAGGGCTGGCCTTGAACACACTGTGTGTCCTGTTCTTAGCTGTCTCCTTGGGGCTGGCCCAGTGCCTGGCACCGGGTGGATACTCAGTGACTGGATGTGGAAGGAATAAACCAGAGTCCACTCTTTCACTAGCTCTCCTGCCCAGTTCACAGCACACACACACCTGTATGGACAGGTGGGGCTGGGCACACCCTGGCCAGCCAGTGTTGCAAGCTGACAACCTGTGTGCCCAGCTGAAGATGTGTGCAAGGGAGCTACGGGGTACAGAGGGGGCCATGTGGCCTTGCCCTTGGAGATCCTAGGATTTGGTAGTGATGGGGGGCACATGACCCCCTTGAAGAAATCCTGAGAACACGGATGAGGAGGTGTTCATGTGAGCTCTTAATGATTGCGGCCACAGGACCTGTGTACGCAGGTGCCAGAAGTGGTGGCCCAGGTGACTGATGGGCTCTGGTTGGCATCAGAGCCTGCTGTTTCTACCAGGGCTGCTTCAACTTGGGCATGTGTCAGAACCACCCAGAAGCTTGCCAAGACACAGGTTGCTTGCCCCACCCCCAGAGCGTCTGATTCAGTGGGTCTGGGGTTGGGCCCATGAATGTATATTTTTAACATGTTCTCAGGTGACAGTGGCCTGGGGACGGTTGTTTGAGAACTACTGCTTTTAATGAACAGGCTCTAGCTTGAGACTGAAACTGTCCCAACTTTATACATAAATGTGCATGCTTTTCCATTCATGGGTTTGCATGTGGTTCCCTGTAAATTCCTTGGAGTTCATCTCTCTTTGCACTATGGTGGTGAGAGCCTTCCTGAGCTCAGCTGGGCCCCCTATTCTTTCATTTTTCCACCCATCCATCCAACTACCTATCATCCATCCATCTGTTCATCCGTCCATCCATCCATCATCTACCTATCCATCCATCATCCATCCTTAAGATATTTAGGGAGCCCCTCTAGGACGGGAGTGCCAGGGATACCGTGCAGCTGACCTGCCTCTGACCTGCCCTCATACCTGCCCTGTCCTTCTCTGCAGGCTTTTTGTCCTGGGCATTGGCTTCTTCACCCTCTGCTTCCTGATGACATCTCTGGGAGGCCAGTTCTCAGCCCGGCACGTGGGGGACTCGCCCTTCACCATCCGCACGGAAGGTATCTTGGTGGAGGAAGGGGAGGTGAGGGAGATGCCTTCAAGGTCAGACATGGAGACCCTCTGTACGGGGTCTGGCTGTCCCATACGTGGACGTGCCCCAGCTGCATGGACTTGCACGCCACGTCCGCTCCAGGCCTGGTGCTGATCACCAGGTTTCCTTTGGTCTGGGGTCCCAGGGCAGGGCCTTTGAGCCAGGTTCTCCAGGCATCAGAAGAGGCTGCCTGTGTTGTTTGTTTAATGGAGGGGTCTCTGGATGTAACATCTACCTCTTTGAGACACACGGTCCCAGGCTGTGGCTGCAGTAGGGGCAGAGGGCAGGACTGGATGTGAGCTCACTTGTCTTATCTGAGCTGACTTTGTGGCTCTCTTAGTCCTTAACCTCATGATACTTGCCGGGTAGTGAATAGATGTTCAGAATGTGGGCTTCGGGGCAGATAGGCCTGGTCTGTGTCCTGCCTTAAGCTGAAGAGCTGTGTGCTCTTGGCCAGTCCGGAGGAGGGACTGTGATGACCTTTGTCAGAAGTTGGTTGAACTCACATGTGGAAATTACTGGCACAGTTCATGGCATGCTTGTGATGAGCTGGGAGATGCCCCCCAACACACACCACCCGAAGCTGGTCCTGCCACACTCTCATTCTGCCTAGTAGAGGCAGAGACGAGGACAGACCCCTGCTCACTGTGCCGCAGAGGCCCTTCTGGTCTCCAGTGGAAAGGAGGGACATAGGGCAGTGAGGAAACTGAGGCAAATGGGTTTTCTGGGACTGTTCAGGGAGCTGGCTCTGTGAGTGTCCCCTGCCCCATTGGGACAGTTTTTCTTTGAAGTCTGCCCTGTCTAGGAGGGGCTTCATAAGCATTTTAAGGATGGACGGATGGATGGGTGGGTGGGCGGATGAATGGGTGAGTAGATGGATGGATGGGTGGATGGGTAGACAGATGGATGGGTGGGTGGACAGATGGATGGGTAGGTGGGTGAATGAATGGGTGGGTGGATGGATGGGTGGGTGGATGGATGGATGAGTGGGT